AAAATGAAAGTCATGATTTGCATTAGAAGAGCACTGGAATGAGTGGTTGCCAAAAATTGCTGATTATTAAAAAGCCCTGTAAGCTAGTGGGTATTCAGTTGGTCTGACTGCCTTCTCCTTTCAGTCAGGTACGAGGAGTCTAAGAGAATACACTCTTATGGAGCTGCTTGTGGTAAGTGTACAAAGGAGAGTTGAGGTGTTTCAAGCCCCTGTCCCTGGGACTAGGGACTCGGGGTGGTCAGAGACCTGTGGTTGGAAGGAGAGATGGTCATTTACTGTTCTCACCCAGCGTAAGCATGGACGGGAGCCTGGGGTCATTTAGGAAAAATGCAATTAGGGAGGTTGAACTTAGAGGTTAAGTGGGACACTTTGGGGATTAGAAATGGAGGCTTCTCTGCTGGTGGTTGGGCTGATGGGTAGTATGTTGAATTACAGATGCACATGGAGGAGCCTTGTTTTGACTTCCTTCGAACCAAACAGACTCTTGGGTAAGTCTGGTGGCAAGGGCACTGAGCTCGCTAAGGGTCTGAGGCTTACTTTGCAGGCTCAGGTTTATCATAGTCCTTACTGAGCAGCCTCTCACAGTTCTTTTGTCCTTCGGTACCTTAGAGTACCTTCTATAACTACTTGTTAGAACTTCTGGAATTTGCATCTTAAAATATACCTGTTTTTCATTGGTCAACTTTGAAGATAAGAAAAGAATATAAATGTCTTAACACAATAACTAAGAAAATGACATGAAGGCTATGTTAACCAGTTTGATGAAAATATTTCAAATTGTATATGGAAACACCACACTGTACCCCATGATTGCATTAATGTACACAGCTATGTTTTTTTTTTTTTTTTGAGACAGAGCCTCAAGCTATCCCCCTGGGTAGAGTGCTGTGGCATCACAGCCCACAGCAATCTCCAACTCCTGGGCTCAAGCAAGTCTCCTGCCTCCGCCTCCCAAGTAGCTGGGACCACAGGCACCCGCCACAACGCCTGGCTATTTTTTGGTTGCAGCAGTCGTCGTTTGGCAGGTCCGGGCTGGATTCGAACCCGCCACCTTAGGTGTATGTGGCTGGCACCTTAGACACTTAAGCCACAGGCGTCGAGCCACAGCTATGATTTTTTTTAGGAAAAAAGCTTGGGCTGGGTACGGTGGCTCATGTCTGTAATCCTAGCACTCTGAGAGGCTGACGCAGGTGGATTGCCTGAGTTCATGAATTTGAGACCAGCCTGAGCAAAAGCAAGACCCCATCTCTGAAAATATCCAGACGTTGTGGCAGGCACCTATAGTTCTAGCTACTTGGGAGGCTGAGGCAAGAGAATCACTTGAGCCCAAGAGCTTGAGGTTGCTGTGAGCTGTGATGCCACAGCACTCTACTAAGGGTGAAAGTGAAACTGTCTCAAAAAAAAAGAAAGAGAAAAAGAAAAAAAGCTTGTGGTCTCCAATTCAGATGGCTGGACACTTCAACATTTTTGGGTCCTCTTTTAGGACCTCCAGGTCCAGTGAGAATAGGCAGAAACCTTTGCCACACATATCCAGTAATAGGCAAAGCCCAGGTGACCACCTAAGCTCATGTAATTTTTCACTCTGGCGGTAGGTACCATGTATACCCTACCTGTAGGAACACATCTGGGATTCTAGGATTCTCTGTCACCGTGGGAACACAGGCAACCAAGTACAAGTGAGTAGCTGATAAGTCTAACCTAATATTCTTGAGTGGATAGTGGCAGCTGGATGTATGTGCTTCCTTAAGCCTCAGACAACTATGACCAAGCAGGATTTGCTCTATTTAATCATTGCAGAGGGTGTAGAGGCAGGGTGTTGTAAGATGGGCCGCGATCCAGGACTCATCGGTTCTAGTGGTCCTACAGGACTTAATCCAAGTCCTGTGGTCACTGTGCAGGGCTTGCCAATGTTTCTTCTCTTTGGGCAGACCTGAGGACCAAGAATGGCAGGGATGCCTGTCCTGAATTCATGTTGGAACCTGTTTGTTCTTAGCTTTGGAATGACTTCCTCAGTATGAGGATCCCAGAAAATTGGGCTGGAAGGGGGGGGCATTCTTCCCCATTCTCTTCCCTCCCTTATGGTAAAATGCTGAGACCTGGGGAAATACTCCAACCTTTTTCCTGGAGATAATGTCATGTCTTAATTCTTTCTGCCTGAAACACCAGTTCTCTGATGACTTTTAATTGAAGTGTTTTGTTTCAGCTCTGAAGTTGTTGATAAGAAGATAGAAGAGTTTCTTTCTAGCTTTGAAGAGAAGATTGAGAACCTCACTGAAGATGCATTCAACACCCAGGTGACTTGACTTTGCCAGCCTGGGCTTTTGGCCTTTTGCCCCCACAGTCCCTCAAGACACCACACACTAGCTTTAATAGTACTATGTGCTGGTCAGTTTTTGAGTTTCGCAGGCCCACCTCAGTCTGACCATAGTGCCCCAACTGGCTTCATCACTCCCTGTCCTGCTAGCTTGGACAGGGCCGGGTCTATTCAGAGGGAACTGGTATGCCATGTCTGAGTGTTTCTCTTTTTGCTGGGAACAGGTCACAGCTCTCATCAAGCTGAAGGAGTGTGAGGACACCCACCTTGGGGAGGAGGTGGATAGGAACTGGAACGAAGTGGTGACACAGCAGTATCTCTTTGATCGTCTTGCTCATGAGGTAACATGGGCACATGGTTGCAGAGCCCTGACAGAGGGTTCTACAGGAGTCACAGGTGCAAGTAAACTAGTATTTTGAATTGAAGAGAAACCCGGGACACCCATCCTGGCCTGGTTACTTCATTACTCAGACTAGCACCTTAGGTGGCCATGTGAGTAGGGTGCTAATCCTTACTACCCTCCTTCCCCAGTTTCAATCAGAGCAGCTACATTTTTATATTACATTGAAGTTTGCCAAAAGATATTCTAGAGAACAAAGCATTCTGCTATGTAAGGAAAACTGAGAATTACCAAACAACAATGCTCTGTGAGGCAGCGAGGTTCTTTAATAAGGCATTTCAGCACAGTTCACCTTAAGGCACTTGTTTTCTGAGTAGAAGCAAGACATGAAAAGTTTACCTGTTCCAATAGTTGCTACATTTTCCTCAAGCCAGAATATGCAGTTACCACATAACTGGGAGGTGACACTGAGGAGACCCCTGGTGTCAGGCTCAGTGCACGGTATTCACCTGCAATGACAGCATCTGCTAACTGCTCTTACTCCTGCTATAAAACACGGCAGCTTGTCCCTACCCTTCCAGAGAAGGATAAAGATGAACTGAGATTAGGAGGAGTACGCTGAAGTTCTCAAAAGCTAAGCAGGATCAAGGAGGTTATAATAACCCCTGTGCGTCCTTTCTTTCTTACTTTTCTTTTCCGTGTAAGATTGAAGCACTGAAGTCATTCTCAAAATCAGACCTGGTCAACTGGTTCAAGGACCATAGAGGACCAGGGAGTAAAATGCTCAGCGTTCATGTGAGTATAGTTCACTAAAGTAGCTTTGACCCAGTTACTGACTGCGTCGTTATCAAAGATGACACATCTGCTCAGACTGTTTCTAACCTTGAATCTCTGGCCTCTTTCAGGTTGTTGGATACGGGAAGTACGAGCTGGAAGAGGACAGCACCCCTTCTGGTGAAGATTCAAATTCTTCTTGTGAAGTGATGCAGCTAACCTACCTGCCAACCTCTCCTGTGCTGGCAGATTCCGTCATCCCCATTACTGATATCAGGGCTTTCACAGCAACACTCAACCTTCTCCCCTACCACAAAATAGTCAAATAAACTGCAGTCTCATTGGCCTGAAGCAACGTGTATTTAAAAACGTGTTTGTAATTTATGGAGTGACACTACTATTGCCTTGGGGCTTCCACTGAATTTTGCACTGGCATCACTGAATTTGACTGACTTTTTATCCTTTCTCTATTGAAACTAACAAACCCAGGGTTACTATAGCAGCTAGCAAAGAGAAAATTAGCCGGGTGGGCCAAGCGTGACCAAAAAGCTTGTGACAGCAATTTGGGAATCCCTGGCCTGTGTCCTCCAGACTGAGAGTATAGGTTTTGAAAGCCCCCATGTAATCATTGTGTGATTAATAACGAAATGCTAGAGTGTTAGTACCTGAATGCTAGGTACTAATACCTGTTTTTGATTTTTTAAAATGTATTTTTAAATAAAGATAGTTCTGTATTTCCCTTCGAAATGAGCCATTTGCTGCCGTGGCATTCTTTTTGTTACATTTTCATTGTGGGTTTCGGATCTAAAAATTTGCACTCTTTCCAAACCCTCTAAGGCTATCGATAAAATACGTTGGGTGTTGGTAACCCTGTGTGTGTGGTAGAGTTCAGTGAAGACTTCAGGGAGTAGCAGGGTATGGGATAAAACATGGACTATAAAGGAGGGTGAATGTCTTCAGAGCCCTTCTGAAAAGCTATCCCTGTAAATAACTGGCTTCCAAGTTTAGCCATATGGATAATAAAACACACTAAAAAAAGGTTGAAAAAAATTACTTTATGAAGCCTTAAGAAGCACTGAGTATAATTACAATTTAATAATATTTCACTTCCAAAATAAAAGTTATTGTAGGTAAGACCATGAAATTTCCTAACACTTGATTTTAATACATTGCGCTAATTTTCTAAAACAACTTAGAGGAACCAATATTTACAATAGGCGGCGTATTTATGAAAAATCTGGTATCAGGTATATTTTATATGTGTGTGTATATGTATAACACACCAAAAATTATATGAACTAAGAAACAGAGCTTGTATATCTTAATAGCAGTACTAGAGTGCAGAGTTAGAGACTTGGATTTATAAATGTTTTTCAATGCCTGGGGTTTGGAAAAGGAGCAGACATCTTGTTTTCAAAACCTGAAGTTTTTCTCAGGACTTGGAGTCAAAATCATAACTGCCACAGAGGAAAAAGGGAAGCTTTTCCCACTTTAATTGCTCATCTGCGTCGGAAAGTCCAGTATCCCTGAGATAGGAACCACTGTAATAAGAAGGGAGTCAACAGGTTCTCCCAAAGGAAGATTGTTTGTTGCTGAATTATGCCTACTGCCCTGGTCATCAGGTGTAAACTTCACATTTCCCAGCCTAATGCTTGGCAGCACCAAGACGTTTTAGTAATGGTTCATCATAAACCCAACATTCTCCATCTTCATGAAACAACTGTAAAAGAAAGGGGAAGAACTTAGTTACACACTTGCTTTGTACTTCTCTAATACATTTTATTATTTCATGTCTTCTCCCCCATTAGACTGAAATGAGTTTCACATAGAGACCAAGGTTCATCTTGTTCATCAACAGTGTTGGCACTTCATTTCTTGAACAGTCATTGAAAGGAGCGAATGATTTATTGCTCGGAATACAGGAGGAGGTGCGGATTAGAGGCTAAGGCAGGCAAGCTTACCCTGGTCTCCCACTGAATCTCCTTCTCCTTCCTTTCTCGGGCTTCTGCTCTTTGTCTTTCTTCAAGTCTGTGCTTTGCTTCAGTTGCTGCATCAATGTCTTTGATTTTTAAGTTGAAAGTGACATCCTTCCAAAGGCTAAAAAACGGAGATCAAGAGTAGCTGGCTATCCTGAAAATTAAAGCCTAGAGCCGCCTCTGACAATAGCATAATAACAGTATAAGTCAGATGGCTTTAAATGCTGTAGTTCACCGACTAGATCTCCCTAACTACCCCCAAGCATTGGAGGAAGGAGCAGGAAAATGGGCCCAGGAGACTCCACTGCTAGTTTTCAAAGAAATAAGGGACTAGCAGCTTGATCCATGGTAAGGGTGGCACAAGAGAGCAAAGTAGAAGCTGAGATCTGGGAGGAATTCTTACACTTCTGCCTCTAACTTGCTAGGCAACTTTGGGGGACTAAGTTTGAGTGTCTCTTATTATAAATCAAAAGGGTTAGCTCAAAGGAGCTGAGAAAAATTCCCTTAAATTTAACAATGTGATCTTGGAGAAAAGAGTATAAACAGAGAATAAAGGTCAAGAGGCAAACTGCAGAAACTTAAGGGGGTAAGACATGGCTTCTCCTCAAGGCCATTATTTCTACCGCTTCAGGAAAGGAGGCAAAGGGTTATGAATGAAGCTAGTCTGTGGTGGTTCTGACGTGTGAACCCAGGCATTCAGACTTGGTCTGTGCTTGGTCTGCTCTGCTGTACTATCTCCACAACCCAGCCCCATGCCGGTGCCCCGGCAGCAGAGTGAGCACCGCAGCAATAGGCCTAGTTATTTCCTTACCAGCGGGATTCATACTCATTCTGATCTTCCAACTTCCTCACTTTCTTCTTGATTATAGGCAACTTCTTGGTATCTACAAAGACTATATTTTCCTGGGAAAACAAAAGAGATACATATATGTTTTATTATTCTGTCCTAGTAGGAAAAGTCAGTTCTTTCCAAAGACTAATTAGCAGATCGAAAAAGCAAATCCCATACATGTTAATGATGTATGAAGTTCACATGCAGTCTTAAGCCTAAAATAAAGTTACTGCCTTGTCTAGAGGCTCAGTTGAACAGGTATTTTCAAGTGGTTATGTGCTGCATGCTAGGGATATAATCTCTTGGGGAGCTAGACCTATGAACAACTAATCCCAGTATTAAGCAGAGCATTAACTTCCTACCACCATTCTTCCTAGAAACAACACTGAACGAGTGGCATCAAAGGGCACGAGTTTCCTGAAGGCAAAGACAATTTTATTTCTGTATCCATGCTGCCAGGCAGTCAAATTTTATTACATAAAATCTTAAAACTGTGTATACAAATTACTTCAGCACTTATTTTATAAACATAACCACACATTCTAATGACATAACTAGCATTAACTTAGGTTCTGAGCTAAACGTGCTAAACTGTACAGACAGAGTCTCACTTTATCGCCCTTGGTAGAGTGCCATGGCGTCGCACAGCTCACAGCAACCTCCAACTCCTGGGCTTAAGCAATTCCCTTGCTTCAGCCTCCCGAGTAGCTGGGACTACAGGTGCCCTCCACAAAGGCCGGCTATCTTTTTGTTTGCAGTTTGGCCGGGGCTGGGACTGAACTCGTGACCCTCAGTATGTGGGACTGGTGTCCTACCCACAAGCCACAGGCACCGCCCTTAAACATTGTTTTACATGTATTAATCTCAGGGTTTTTGAGAGCAGGGAGAAACACAGAAATCATTCTATTACCTGCACTGCTGGGGAGGTTGGGGAAGGAAGGAAAAGTCTTGCCCTGAAGAGACAACACTGGCCTGCCTCAGTGGTTCAAGGTCCAGATGAAGGAAGCCAGGATAAAGGGGAGACTATAATTCACTGTAGCCTGAAACAAGTGGCAAAATACAGGTTCTTACCCCTGTTGCATATTTTGCATACATTACACCATTCCATTCCCCTTCAATGGAGCAAAAAGACTTCTTGTCATTTGGAGAACTGAATAGAAAAGGAAACATTTGTGTTAGTCTCAAGTTGAAAATTACTCCACCAAAGAATCTGGTCAGTGTGGCCTATCTATACAGAGAACACAGGAGACCAAGTGTGAGGTCTTTGACAAAATCAGCTTATGGGGCCGACTGCAAGAATGAGGACCTGGAACAAGGTGCTTATGAACTCAAGAACCCATGAACAGTTCAGTACAGGGTGCAGAGCTCTGTTGTGTGGCCACAACACACCTGTTATACCCTCTCCCCTAAAGCTGTTCCCAGCCCAGTGACTGTACATACACAACAGTGACACTACTACTGCCTTGGGGCTTCCACTGAATTTTTGCACTGGCGTCACTGGATTTGACTTTTTATCCTTTCTCTATTGAAACTAACAAACCCAAGGTTATTATAGTAGCTAGCAAAGGGAAAACTAGCAGGGCAGGCTAAGTGTGACCAAAAAGCCTGTGAGTGGGGAAAAGACTTAGTGCCTTTGAAGTCCTAAGTGGTAAGTGCTGTGATGAGCTTGGGTGGGCACTGGAGGAACAAGGGCAGAACCATGGAATGATGGTCAGGGAAAGCTTTGCTCTTTATGCCAGACTTTCATCCTCAGGCTGAAAGGGACCTCTGGGCCTAATGCTTTGACCACTTTCCCTGAGCAAGCATCCTTTTCTCAAACGCCCTGACAGGCCTCAACTTGGACTCCCAGGTCTGGACTCTGAGAAGCATCATAGCTAAGACCTAGTTAGGAATGGGAAGGCGTGAACAGAAAACCAGAAGTCAGAGAAAAATGAACAGGGTATAGGAATGAAAGCATCACCAGCAGACACTTCAGTGTCCTCCATAACTTGGGAGGATTTGGGGAAAGAGAATAAAGGGAAAGAAAAATGACAGGATCTCAGGCCACATATACTGAGGCTGGTGGGTTCGAGCCTGCCAACAACAATGACGACTACAACCAAAAAAATAGTCAGGCATTGTAGCAAGTGCCTGTAGTCCCAGCTACTCAGGAGGCTGAGGCAAGACAATCGTTTAAACCCAGGAGTTTGAGGTTACTGTGAGCTGTGACGCTACGGCACTCTACTGAGGGTGATAAAGTGAGTCTCTAAAAAAATTTTTAAAAAAAGTTTAAAAAAATAGCCAGACATTGTGGCAGGTGCCTATAGTCCTAGTTACTTGGGAGGCTGAGGCAAGAGAATCCCTTGAGCCCAAGAGTTGGAGGTTGCTGTGAGCTATCATGCCACGGCACTCCACTGAAGGCAAAAAAGTGAGACTCTGACTCAAAAAAAAAAAAAAAAAATACCCACCAAAAGTTCTTCCACCTCACATCTTTGTACTAAATATGGCTCTGACTGGCAGAAAATTCTGCTAAGCTAGCAATTCTTATTAGTGGTAGTTACCTCTAAAGAGCTCTGAGAAGCAGCCACACCGGTATCTTTGTTCTGAATATTCAAGTCTATCATCTGCCTGATTTGCTGGGGGTGGAGCAGGGGACACAGGGGCATCATTGTGGTGATTTTGTGCTAGTCTTTAAAGCCCTGCCCATATTTTCCAACTAGAATAATTTTTCACACTGATCCTTAGTAAACTTCATCTTGTTCATGGTCCCATCTGCTCAAGATATTTCTGGATACTGACTTTTAACATCCAAATTAAATTACCTCCCTGGAAAAGTGGTTAAACAATATTGTGTCTTCCACCTGGGACACTGCTTCCTTAAGACCTTCCAGAGGAGAGCAAAGTCTGGTAGGTATCCCTACTGTACAGAGCTTCCTCTTTAGGCAGGATCTGAACCCACCCGTTAGCCAGACAGCACCATCATCTTCACCTGACCCAACATGCCAAGTGGAGCCAAGCCAAATACTTGTAAGATGTGACAGTTGCTGTTTCACCCCAGTAAAAGCACAGAAAAAGGAAGGGCTATAACAAATTGAAAATGCTTCTCTAGGGGTCACAAAGTCTCTGGTAAGGACCAGCTTATGGTCCAATCTGGCGAGGATGAAGGATCCATAATCTGAATAAACTAAGAAATCTAGGAAGGCCCCTTCAGTTCCCCGTCACAGGTCAGGTTCCTAGGAAGGAAATCCCGTTGATGAATGACCCTGATTGCTCTGGATTTCAGGTCTCCTTCTGAGATGGGTTTTGGGAAGAGATATGCCATCAAAGGTATGAAACAAGTTTACAAAGAGAACTATTCTTTCACATTTCTAACACAGAGGATATAATTAAAGACAAAAGGAAAAGTATCTCAGAGAAGCAGAAGAGAAGTGAGGCAGAAAAACAAAATACCTACAAAATCTCAGCAGTAATTCTGTGCTTCTTGCCCCCATAGAAAGGTTTAGTGTGGAAGACGATATTGGCACTGTAGCCTGTTTTGGAACAGTTAATACTGCATTCTCCTCCTAATTCCACCCAGGGCACTGTGAGGATAGACCTGCAAAATCAAAAGTTATCAGGTGAGGCTGACAGTTGTGAGGAAAGAGAGGAGGAGGGGGCACGGCTTAAGGAACAAGAGGATGTACTGCTGATCAGAGGACACAGACACAGCTCTACTTGCCTTCCGTAACCATTGGGGAATGTGAGAATATAATGTTCATCATAGTCTAGACACGAGACACAGCCTGCGGAAAGAAGGGACAGAATCTCCGATGAGCAGTGTCAATGGGGATAACCTGTCTAGTAGCTCACTCCTGCTCTCAGCTCCAACAGAGCCTCTTATTGCTAACAACTGTGAACAGACCCCAAGGCCATTTTATTGGACAGGGGTCTAGCACATATTCAAATGACACAAAATTCTCTAAGAATGCTGTAGTCCACCCAGTGTTCAAAAACTTACCCTGCCCTATGTTGTGCACGCCAATTGACATTCCAAGGAATTTTGATTTGGTCCAGATATGAGCATTGAATTGTATCTTCTTGTTAAAACACTCTGCATAAAAGGCTGAAACTAAAAAGAGAATGTTTTCAATCAGCGCACTTTCAGCTACAGCACCTCTCCAAACTCACTTAACCTGGCAGAAAAAACTGGCTCCATAGGGAAATCCTATAACCTTCAAAGAACAGCCTTGACTTAGGCCAGGAGGTTACCTACCCTTTCCCCAGTGCAAGGATCAGAGCCATGTAGGTAGGAGCTTCCCTGAAATATGAGGCTGAATAAAACTCAGGAAGAATAAAATCAAAAAGCAGGCTATCTGTCCTCACAGTCTGCAGGTGTGCAGTATTGCATCCTGTATTTCCATTCTTAATATTGTACTTATACAGTTGGTAGGTTCCACATTCACAGATTCAACCAACTGCAGATCAAAAATGTTCAGAAATGATATGCTGAGAGAATTTGGAAAAAAAATTCAAGAAAAATAACCAATAATAAAACAATACAAATTTTAAAAATACAATGTGACAACTATTTACATGGCATTTATATCATATTAGGTATTGTAAGGTAATCCAGAGATGAGAGGTTATATACAGTAAATGAAAATAAAAGAACTATTTAGTATCAGGGTTGTAAGCATCCTCAGGTTTTGCTCCCTGCAGGGCATCCGAGAACCAATCCCGTGCAGATACCAGGGACTACTGTATTCTCTCCACTATGCCAGGAATACACTGTGCAGAAACTATATACCACACTTAGTACCATCTCACAGTTGCTGGAGTCTCTACAGAACAGACCAATATATGCAAGATGTCTTTGAAAGTATTAAAAGTTGGTTTCCCAGCTAAGTGCCTATAGCACAGTGGTTATGGCACCAGCCACATGCACTGAGGGTGGCAGGTTCAAATCCTGCCTGGGCCTGCCAAACAACGACAGCTGCAACAACAACAAAAATAGCTGGGCATTGTGGCAGGCGCCTGTAGTCCTAGCTACATGGGAGGCTGAGGCAAGAGAATCGCTTAAGCACAAGAGTTTCAGGTTGCTATGGGCTATGACACAGGGCACATTACCAAGTGAGTGAGACATAGTGAGACTCTGTCTCAAAAAAAAAAAATAAAAATAAAAGTTGGTTTCCCAAATCTCTTTTATACAATATTTAATCAGTAAAGCTAAAAGAGTCTTTGGAACTTACACAAGGAAAAGACACAGACATGAGGAACCAATCAAATTGAGTTTCCACGTCAAGTGATAGGAAAGATATAGTCAGTCATACAATTGACACTAAAGTAACCTAAATTATGGAGCTTTTAATGACCTTTGCACAGAATACTTTGAAGGTGGAGGTTGCGGAGGAGCTCTGGAACTTACTCGGTGGATGATGGGACACCTGCTCAGCCACGAATGTTACGCTGTTTTTGGAAACCCCAGGAACTGGTCCTTCTGAAACTAGCTCCTGCAAGCAAATATAATATTTTCTTTTGATGTAGAAACACGAATAACATTTCAGAGAATCTGATAATTGAAGCCTTGGCTCTGCACACACCAAGCACCCTCAAAATACTTCTATCACAGCACATAATTATAATACTGTAATTATTGCTTCTTGTCTAAGCAATAATCCTTCTGTTTAGAGGATCTGTCCAATTCTGTCAGAGGGGTGTTAAAGTCCCCAACTATTATGGTGTTATGGGAGATCATACTGTCAGCCCCATCAAGGTCTCTTTCATAAATCTGAGAGCATTTAAGTTGAGTGCATAAATATTTAAAATTGAAATGTCTTCCTGTTGAATTGTTCCTTTGATTAGTATAAAGTGTCCATCTTTGTCTTTCTTTAGTTGCTTTAAATCTGAAATAAGATCGTAACCTCTCCTTTCTTCTGATTTTGCTTGAAATACTGTTTTCCATCCCTTAACCCTGAGTCTTGATTTGTCCTTCAAGGCTAGGAGTGTCTCCTGGAGACATCACATAGATGGGCTTGTGCTTTATTAACCAGTCAGCGAGCCTGTGCCTCTTCAGTGGTGAATTCAGTCCACTGACATTTACTGACAATTGATAGGTGTGGTGGAGTGCTATTCATCTTACTTTGTGAAAGTCTGTTGTGTAGTTTTCTTCTTTGTGCCACTGTGGAAGCTACATTTTGACCTTTAGCTTCTGGGTGTTTACTTTGCTGGTGGTCCATTGTGGTGGTCAGTGTTGAGAATAGATCTAAGTATTTCCTGTAGAGCTGGTCTTGTTGCGGCAAATTTCCTCAGTCCTTGTATATCCACAAAAGATTTGATTTCTCCATCAATTTTGAAGCTTAGTTTAGTAGGATAAAGAATTCTGGGCTAAAAATTGTTTTGTTTAAGGATGTTGAATGTAGAAGACCAAGCTCTTCTGGCTTGGAAAGTTTCAGTTGAAAAGTCTGTTGTCATCCTAATAGCTCTGCCTCTGTAGGTCAGCTGGTGCTTACTCCTGGCTGCTTGCAGAATTTTTTCTTTCATCTTGACTTTGGACAATTTCATTACAATGTGTTTTGGAGAGGCTCTGTTCGAGTTGAGATGACCTGGGGTTTGATATCCATTTGAGAGGAGAGGGTTGGGGTCTTTAGTAACACTTGAGAAGTTTTCCTTTATAATGGTCTCCAGTAGGGCTTCCATTCCTTTGGGACAATCTTCTTCCCTTTCAGGAATCCCTATTATTCATATATTTGAATGCTTCATGGAGACTTGTAGTTCTCTGAGTGCCTCTTCTGCCTCTTTATCTACCTGGGTTAACTGGAAAACTTTATTCTCTAGCTCAGAGGTTCTTTCTTCTTCATGGTCTAACATATTTTTGATACTTTCTACTGCCTCTTTACATTCTCTGATTGTCTCCTTCATTTTCTTTCTTTTTTTTTTTTTTTTGAGACAAGAGTTTCAAGTTGTCACCCTTGATAGAGGGCCATCGTGTCATAGCTCACAGCAATCCCAAACTCCTGGGCTTAAGCAATTCCCTTGCCTCAGTCTCCCAACTAGCTGGGAGCACAGGTGCTGGCCACAACACCTGGCTATTTTTTTGTTGCAGTTGTTATTGTTGCCTTAACCCCCAGGCCGGGTTCAAACCTGCCAGCTTTGGTGTATGTGGCTAGCACTGTAACCACTATGCTACGGGCACTGAGCCAATCTCCTTTAGTTTCTTAAGCTCCATCATATCCATTCTATATTCTACATATCTCTCATCCCACTTTTGGTTCTATCTTTCCATTTTCTCATCCATTCCTTTTATTGTCTTTATCATCTATATTTTAAATTCCTGTCAAATCCATTAATTCTTTGTAAGTGTAGTCTTCTGCAGTAACTGCCTCATAGTCCCTTGGAGTTCCTGTATTGGTTTTTCATGTTGCTTGAATTCTTCTGTTGGTTCCTCCTCATATGTCCTTTCTTCTTATTCACCTCCTAGTCTTTTTTTTTTTTTTTTTTGAGACAGAGCCTCAAGCTGTCCCCCTGGGTAGAGTGCTGTGGCATTACAGCTCACAGCAACCTCCAACTCCTGGGCTCAAGCGAGTCTCCTGCCTCTGCCTCCCAAGTAGCTGGGACCACAGGCGCCCGCCACAACGCCCGGCTATTTTTTGGTTGCAGCTGTCATTGTTGTTTGGCGGGTCCGGGCTGGGGATTCGAACCTGCCACCTTAGGTGTATGTGGCTGGCGCCTTAGCTGATTGAGCTATAGGCGCCGAGCCCACCTCCTAGTCTTCCTTTTCCCTTCTTGCTTCCTCTTTTGTTTTAAACAGAAATCCTTGCTCTTGATGACAGTATGTTGCAATGTGTCTCCTGAACACCAGGTGGCACTGTGGATCTTTTAGTAGACAGCACAGCCACCAACCTCTATGGTCCTTATTCCAAACTTAGTATCTTCAGTAATTGACTGATTGTTTCTTCAACATTCAGACCCTGCCAGGTTGATGTCTTAAAACTAAGGAGAATCCTTCAGGGCCAGGTCTTACAGTGCCCTGACTCCAGTTCCTGTGGGGTGCAGGAGTCCCTCAGCCTGTCCCAAGAGTGGAGTTCTGATCCCAGCAGGAGGAATTAAGATGGCCCTGCTTTAGGCCCCTAAGACCTTCTCATGACTTCCTTACAATGGCAGCCCCCTGGCCACCAAGACCTCAGTATGGCTGCCTCGCCAGCTACTAAACCTATGGCAAGTCTACTCCAATCGGCATTCAAATATGGTTGCTGTATACTGTTCGAGTCCACCTACCCTTCCAAGCTTTTCACTCAGCATGCAGCTTCCCCCAACAACTGAGAATGCTGGAAAGACTTCCTCCAGTCCGGGACCTCTGTGGGGCTGGGTCGCAATCACTTGCCCAATTCATCAGATTTTTACCACTCTGGATCATACACTATATCCATCTTACCACCTCCCTGCTATGCTCCCTGAGCTGTGTCACTGGGTAAGTTCCTCGCGCCAGGTATGGCTGGGTTCTTTTTTTCCCCATTCTAGGAGAGCGTAGCAGAACAATCCTTCTGGTCTGCCATCTTACTCCACTCCCCCCTCCCCAATCTCAATTTCAGAACTCTCCCTTGAACTCCACACTCTTAAATTTCAATTTCCCACTGGATAGCTCTGCTTACATATCTAATTGACACCCATACTTTATATTTTAAATTGAAGCTCCTGATCTTTCCCTCCCCAAATCCAATCCTTTCCTTGTAAGTAATGACACCATCAACTGCTGAAGTCCACGTGCAAGGGCTCATTTCTGATTGTCTCCCTTCCCTTAGTTTCCCCAACTGTCGATTCTACCTCTGAAATACAGCTTGAATCACCATGTCTCCCCTAGAACACCAAAGCTGCCTCAATGGTCTCCAAGCTTCCATTTTTGCCCCTTCTTGATTGTATTTTCACAAAATCATTGTAATGATCTTTTTAAGACAAAAATGAGAACCTGTTAAGCCATAAAATTATCATTATGGTGTAAATGGCCTTGCATAGTCTGATTTCTAAATCTCCATCCTCAACACATCCTACTCTTTCCCCCTTCTCATTATATTTAAGATCAAATGATCTAATAACAAGAATGTTCCTCTACGGGTGGTCTCTTGATCATTATTATCTGCTCCTAAATAAAATGAAATCCTGAATTAGTATATGACTTAAGATAATTAAAAATGTCAATGTAGAACTCACTGTGTTCTCTTCCGTATCATTTGGTAATGTCCAATGACACTGAAAAATCTCGCCCAAAATGGGGTTGTAGGGTTTTTTGGCAACTGATCCTTTCCTTCCTGCATGAAAGGCTGAGAGGTACCATTTCACAACCTGAACCATGCGATCTCTGGGATCCTTCTGGTCACTAATGCTGCAAAGGAAAGAGACAAAATTTAATTGGCAGAATGCCAAGCTGACCCAGCACCCCTTTGGCATGGTCCATCCTGAACCAGGCTGAGAGGACCAGGGACCTAGGATCAAAAGTTACCTCAAAGTTTCATTAAAATTAGGATCTAAATCTCCTCAAAAATAAAAGGAATAAAATTTTTAAAAATAAAATTTGAGGGGTATGTAGAAGTATATTGATCTTAGTGTTTTGTTTGAGGATTTGACAAATTTATGTATCAGTTGAGTTAATTACCACCCAGTCAAGACATGGAACATTTCCATTATTCCAGAAAGTTTCCCCATCTCCCTTTCCAACCAATCATCACCTCTGCCCTGAAGCACATTCTATAGTGGCCTGTTTAAGAGTATGTAAATGCATTGTTTAATTTTTAAATAAGTAGGTATTTTTTTTCTTTTTTTTTGTAGTTTTTGGTTGGGGCTGGGTTTGAACCCACCACCTCTGGCATATGGGGCCAGTGCCCTACCCCTTTGAGCCACAGGTGCCACCAATAACTAGGTATTTTCTATATCTGTGTTTTTTTT